TGTACTTCAGGACAGATCTTGAAACATCCTTTGTGATGATGAATAACATGCCATTCTTCTTTAAACTGTCATTCTTGGCATAGTAGATCATATGGTTGTCTGATCCAAAATGGTCAAAACCAGTCCATTTCAGCTCACTAATGCCTAGGATATCAATCTTTATGCATTCCATTTCATTTTTGACAACTTTCACCTGGTATCTAAGACCTGGTGTCTGTACCTAAGACCTGGTGTCTTAGGTACCCAGTGATATTCTTAGGCCTTTCTACATATTAGCTCATTAAAACTTCATAATTACCCCATGAAGAGGTTCTAGGAGGAACCCTGTTTGATACTCATAGTTATGGAGGCACAAGCAGTTTCATTAAGCTGACTAATGTCACATAAACTCCAGGTCAGGGGTATCTCACCCACAGTCTGTTCTCTGAAGCCCTCCCCTCTGCCCTGGTCCTGCTGCCCTGGCTGGCAGTGGCAACAGCATCAGATCACACCTACCTGAGGGGTCCCCAGTCTCTCAATCAGAGGAACAAGGTGCAGTGGAGCATACTTTGATTCAAGTCTCTTCATTTTCGCATCCAGTCTCTCTCCCTCTGCAGTGGAAAGAAAATATACTCTGTTCTTTTGTGGAAAAATGATTATTTTCTTTTTACCAAAAACAAGATTTCTGTTTTTTTAAAGAACAACATATTATTTTATTGTATTTTCAGTCAAAGTTTATACAGCAGTTCAGGCTCATATTTAACAATTTCTACAGAAATTATTCAAAGACAGTATTACAGTTTTCACAGTCTGTCAATTCTCTTCTGTCTGTTCCTTTTCCAGTAATCTATTTTCCTTGCTCCCTTTTTCATTTTCCTTTAGGATAATTGTTGACCATGTCATCTAATATACTTGATTTTGTATAGGACTTCAGTACCTCATGATTTATATTATTTATTTTATGAAACACTGTTATTTAATTAAAAGGTAATGTCAGGGGACAGTTTCTGTTCAAGGTTTAAAAAAGTATCTCAGGAGTTGTCAATGAAAGCAAACATGGGTATAGGGACGGATAGATGGGTGAACAAGCTAAACAATTATGTATGTCTAAATGGAGAGTGTATCCAAGATCATATACAGGGTTGGCAGACAATGGGCCTCTCAGGGTGCAGAAGAGTATGAAGGGATGGACACTGGGAGGAGGTAACTATGGGGAGGAAGTGGGAGGGGAGCTGCTGCATTGTAAATTTTGGTCAATGACATGAGACAAAGTATATGTGAACTGCTGTATGAAAAGTGAATTTACTCTGTAAATCTTCACCCAAATCCTAATTAAAAAAAAAAAAAAAAAAGTATCTCAGGACAACAGTCTTGGGGAGTCCTCCATTCTCAACTAGTCCAGGAAGTCTATATGTTTTAAAGATTTGAATTCTGTTCCACATTTTTCTCCCATTCTATCAGGATTCATTTATTTTGGCTCTGATCACAACCGTAAGTAGTGGTAGCTGGGAACCATCAAGTTTTTCTGATCTCAAGGTAGAATGTTCATGTAGACTATTAGATATGTAGACTAGTTTCGTCTCTGAGTCTTTGGTTTCCTTCTTTCTCTGTTGCTCTGAAGAGTGGAGAACAATAGTTGTAACTTAGATGGCTGCTCTCAAGCTTTGGAGATTTCAGACACTACTCACCAAGCTAGGAAGTAAAACAAACTTTGGGAACTATATTTACACCAGTTAACTAACTTGTTCCATGAAGTCTATGATCCTAAGTTTTCAAACCCAGGCAACCAATCCCACAAGGGGTTTGATTATGTATAAGAAGTATCTGTAATTCTGCCATGTATATGTATATAGGTGTGTACACACACACACACAACTATATATACATATATATGTTGTTGTTGTTGTTACGTGCCATCGAGTCAAACCCAACTCTTAGTGACCCCTCCTTGGATTTCCGAGGCAGTATCACTATGGAAGTACAGGTGCATCTATATGTACACACAAGGAGCTCTTGTATTATAGTGGTTAAGGCATTTGGCTGCTGACCAAAAGCTTACTAGTTTGAAGCCAACAGCTACTCTGTGGAAAAATGATGAAGCAGTCAGCTTCTGCAATGAATGCAGCTTCTGCCTTGGAAACCCAATGGGGGTCGCTATGAGTTGGAATCAACTTGACAGCTGTGAGTTTGTTTTTGGTTTTTATATGTGTATACAGGCATACCTCTTTCTATTGCACCTCACTTTATTTTGCTTTGCATATATTGCATTTTTTATTAAAACAAACTGAAGGTTTGTGGCAATCCTACCCTAAGCAAGTCTATTAATAAGAGCCATTTCTCCAACACCATGTGGTCACTTTGTATCTCTGTGTCACATTTTGGTATTTCTCACATTTCAAACTTTCTTATAGTGTTATTATAAACTTTATAGACAACAGTATAGTGTAGGCATAACTTTTAAGTACACTGGGAAACCAAAAAATTTATGTGACTTGCTGTACTGAATGACTTTTTGCACTGGTCTGGCAGTGAACTCTCAATATTTCCCAAGTGTACCTGTACATATGTGCACACATGCAATATACATATGGAACCACACTGTTTTTTTATTTGGCTGGTTGTTCTTCATGTTGCTGCAAATTTTTCTGTGTATTATCCTTTACCAAAAATGTCTTTTCTTTTATGTATTTCTTAGTGATATCATTTACCTTGGTCAAGCTCTGTGTATTTTGTCCACCTTAAATAGTACCTCTGCTATCACCAAAAATGACAAGAGCCTATTATCTAGAACTTCCATTCACCTGACAGTTTACCTGTGGAGGCTGGCATGTTGCTGTGAAGCTGGAAGCTATGCCACTTGTATTTCAAATACTAGCAGTGTCACCCATGGTAAACAGGTTTCAGTGGAGCTTCCAGACTAAGATAGGCTAGGACATGGTCAAGTTCACTTCTGGGAGGGGGTAAAAAAAAAAAAAAAACTGGCACTGAGAACCTTATGGACAGCAGGGAAACAGGGTCTAATAATAGTGGTGGAAGATGAGCCCTTCAGGTTGGGTCACACTAAAAATATGACTGGCAAAGAGCTATCTCGTGAAAGTAGATTCTACATTAATGACATGGATGGAGTAAAGCTTTCTAGATATTCATTTCCTGATGTGACACGACTCAAATGAGAAGAAGCAGATACAAATATCCATTAATAATTGGAACATGGAACGTACCAAGTATGAATCGAGGAAAATTGGACGCTGTCAAAAATGCAATGGAATGCATAAAGTTCCTGGGCATTAGTGAACTGAAATGGACTGGTAATAGGCCATTTTGAATTAGACAATCATATGGTCTATTATGCTGACAATGACAAAAAGGAATGGTGTCACATTTATCATCATAAAGAATATTGCAAGCCTGGTGAAACCTCCAAGATAATGGCCCCTAGTTACCCTTCAAGACTGAATTCTATCCAAATAACAGACAGGCATATAGGGCGAACATTTACACTAGATAGATACACTCCTTAGAATGATCAATCATAGGAAAATAGAGGGCAGTAATTGCACAGGGAGACAGCTCAGAGGGCAGGAATGCATAGGAAAAAAGGACACAGCGAAGAGGTACTACAGGGAGGAAGTAGGGAGAGAGCTGTTACATTGTGGGGACTGCAGTCAATGTAATGAAACAAAATATATAAACGGTTGAATGGAAAATGAATTTGCTCTATAAACTTTCACACAAATAACATTTTAAAAAAAAGTATTTCAAGGTCTATCCTCAAGTACACAATGCTGTCAGTGACAGGATAATAGCCAATCGTTTACAAGAAGACCAGTTAATACTACTATTATTAAAATTTATGCACCAACTATAAACCCAAGGATTAAGAAAGTGAAGATTTATACCAACTTCTTCAATCTGAAACTGACAAAACATGCAACCAAGATTGATAATTACTGGTGACTAGAATGTAAAAGTTGGAAAGAAGGAAGAAGCATCAGTGGTTGGAAAATGTGGCCTTGGTAATAGAAATGACACTGGAGATTGCAAGATAGAATTTTGCAGGACCAACAACTTATGCCTTTTGTAAACAATATAAACTGAGGATACACATGGACCTTGCCAGATGGAATACACAGCAATCAAACTGACTACATCTGTGGAAAGAGACAAAGGACATGGTCAATATCATCAGTAAGAACAAGTCCAGGGGCTGACTGGATCAGACCATCAATTGCTCATATGCAACTTTAAACTTAAGCAGAAAAAAGATAGAGTGAGTAAAAAAGAGTCAAAATGTGGCCTTGAGTATATCCCACCTGAATTTAGAGACCATTTGAAAAAAAGATATGATGCATTTAAAACTAGTGACCAAAGACCAGGTGAGATGAAAGATGATATCAAGAACATTATTCAAGAAGAAAGTAAAAAGGAATCACTGTGGAAAGCAGTATGGAGATTCCTTAAAAAGTTGGAATTAGAAATACCATTTGGCTCAGCCATTCCATTACTAGGTATATATGATAGACCATATGTTAGGCCATTAAGCAAACCTTAATAAATTTAAAAACATCGAAATATTGCAACGCATATTCTCAGATCATATTATCAAATTAGAAATCAACAATAGGAATATCCACAGGAAAACACTAAACACATGGAAACTGAACAACACCCTCCTTGAGATAGACTGGGTAAGAGAAGAAATCAAAATTGAAATAAAAAAATTCCTTGAATAAAACGAGAATGAAAATACAACGTACCAAAATCTTTGGGACACAGCAAAAGCAGTGATCAAAGGCCAATTTATAGCAATAAACACACACATCAAAAAAGAAGAGGGAGCCAAAATCAACACTTTAAATGAACATCTCCAACACTTAGAGAAAGAACAGCAAGAAAAGCCCACAGTCACCAGAAGGAAGGAAATAATCAACACTCGAGCACAAATCAATGAAACAGAAAATAGAAGGGCTATAGAAAAAATTAAAACCAGAAGCTAGTTTTTTGAAACAATCAATAAAATTGACAAACCGCTGGGAAATTTAACAAAGGAAAAGAGGGAGAGAATACAAATACCACTAATACGAAACGAAATAGGTGACATCACAACAGAACCAACTGAAATAAAAAGGACATATCAGGATAATATGAAGAACTGTACTCCAACAAATTTGAAAATCTGGAAGAAATGGACGGTTTTCTAGAATCACACCACTTACCTAAACTAACACAGACTGATGTGGAAAAGTTGAATAGGCCCATCACAAAGAAGAAATTAACCAGGTCATCAAAAAATTACCAACTAAAACAAGTCCTGGCCCAGAC